AGTCAACTAACAATTTCCTCATGCTGTTGGTAAACAATTTCGGCTGTTAGCTAGCTTTTAGTTAAAAATTTCAGGACGCAAGACTGCTAACTAATCGTTTTACTTCATTTAACTTTTCTCCTAATGGTAGTTAGCTGTTTAACTGTTTATGCATACTATTAGCAAATGATTTAACTCTTAATTTAACTCACTGCTTTAATTCTTTGTCTTCTCTTTTGGTGATTTATGTTTGTTTGCTTTGTTTAGTTTTTCTTACATTCCACATATCCATAATTTTTAGTTAACTGTTACAGGTCCACTCATTTTTGTAATTCAACTGTATTCTTTCTTTTTCAGATTAGTTGAAGTAACCTGTCTGTGTACTCCTGGGGATACTTACCCGAGACTGGGAACATCAGCTCGAGGAAGAAATGCACATGAGAAGTCTACATGACGTGTCTATCTGTTAACGTCCAGCTCCCGGACATGTTTGGCTGAAGTCTCTCATATTCTGTTGATGTTTGGTTTTGCTAGCCACATCTGTGCATCTTTAATCAAAGTCACGGTCAGTCTTTGAAGAGAGATATTTCGCTCAGACCGGAGGCCAAAAAGCTACAAAGAAATGAAAGATAAGTATTAACGACAGTGAAAAGAGGGGTAAGATAGCTCAAGCTACAAAAGGGCCGACTCACTTTTACTCTGATTACATCAGAGTTGAGATGACCTGTGACCTTCCAGCTGGACCAAAAATGGATTTTGACACAAACTTGCCTTTTCTTCTCCCAGGCAACAGCCACCCCGGAGATCACATGACTCTCGAGGCCGGCCACGCCAGGCCGCGTGATGCTGCTGCAGATGTGAAGAAGAAGGAGGGGGGGATTATAAAAGGAAGAAAAGAAGTTTTTAGTGAAAGATTGGAAGGGGAACAAGGGCTAGGGGATGACATGGAGAACAAGCGAACACGTCAGCAGACAGTGAGGAGGGGGTAGGGGGTCACAAAGCTAGCTTTGTTTCTGCTCTGGCTGCTACATTAGCAGCTGCAATAAAAAAAGCTTAGAGAGATGAGGATGGATGGACGATGGCATGGAGGGGTGAATGGCCTGGCATGACATTTAAGAGATGTCTCTGTTTGTCACTTCAGCACACTGTGCTTTAATGCTGGAGCATAGAATATGCATACAGGCCAAACTCGTATAAAGACACGGAGACATTCGTGGCAAATTCAAGAGAAAGGGACCACTGTGTGCCCAGTGATGTAACACACTTTTATGACTGATATGCATTACAATATGAGAACAGAGATGAAAGAATTTAGTGCTTTGGCAAGAAGTCATATCCCAGGATGCTTTGCTCTCTTAGCTCACCCGTTTGCAGCCATCCCGGTTATCCAGTTGGCCTCGCCTATGGGGTCACTAGGCCTCTATAAACTTGGGGGCTTTCTTTGCAGTCCTGTGTGTGTGTGTGTGTGTGTGTGTGTGTGTGTGTGTGTGTGTGTGTGTGTGTGTGTGTGTGTGTGTGTGTGTGTGTGTGCCTCTGGGGCAAATAATCTCCGTTCTCCAAACATCACATGACCATGTAAGCTGTTGAAACCGGCACCGTCTTCAGGTCCGGTGGCACCTTGAAGTGTTTTTCATTTGCCAGAGAGGAGCTGGCCTCAAATGGGAACCAGAGACAGGTTTAATGTCTGATTCTTAACCTACTGCAGCTGTGTCTCGCACACATACAAACACACACACACACACAAATATCAGGGGTCCACACACACACGCAGGCGAGCTGTCTCAGAACAGGGTTAAGAATGAGCAACTGTATTACACCAGAGCAAATGAGAAGCATCACATCAACGGAGGAAATCTCAAACATTTGTCCACGTTTATCAATACTGCCATATGCGTGCAACATCATGATCGGCTTAAAAGCTTCTTGCAAACACGCGCCAAAAAGCTCCAAAGGGCAACTATTGTCTCCTCTGCAGCTGCTGTATTTTGTAACAAGCATTACAGATGTTTCCTGTGTAAATATGTTTACTGCATAATGACACGCGGTGTGGCTTTTTTAATATATATAATAATAATTATAATAATAATAATAATAATAATTTAATATATATATATAAGTACAGCACGAAACCATAGAAAGATGTTTTTTGGGTTTTCTTGCACTTTCCTAGCAAAGGAACAGAGGCATGTCACTGCCCGAAGAAATAACTTTGTTCCAGCAGGTGCTAATGTATGTGAAGGAATTCATGAGTGAAAGCCACCTGACACCTCTGATAGTATCTTATTAAGGTGTGTTTACCCAACATGAGCAGAGTGTGGAGCAGTGAGAGGGGGTAGAACTAGTTGCACACTGGCTTTGTTTGTGATTGTTTTAATGAGGAAGAGGGGTTTGCGTTTCAGGCTGTAGCCGTTGGTTGAAATATTCTTCTTGTTTTTTTCTGTCAGAGATGACATGGTTGGGAGATATTTAACCGGTTAGTCCGAGTTCAGTTTGTGCATGCACTGCTGGGGCGGCTGAAACGGTGCAATTCGCAACTGTGACAGGAAACAAACAAATGAGTTTCTGTGATGTCTTGTGGAAGAATTGAAGAAGATGATGTGTGAGATAAAAACACAGACACAATCATTTGAAGTGGCAGAAGTAGAGTGAAAGCACTTTCTTTTCTTTGATGATACAGATATAGGCTTTAGGGTGTAATGCCGTGCAGAAGGAAAGAGAAAAGCTGTGTAAATGTCAGGAACACCTAAATTAAAATAGGATGTAGTTTAGACGAGCTTGTGTTGACTTCTATGCAAATGTAAAATGGAATGAGAATAACTTTCTCCAAACTGCATGACCCACAATGCAACAGCGGGCCATTGACAAATGAAGGTCATGTTCCTCAGTGGGTGGGGTATGCTGTGACCTACCCACTTCCCCTTCCCATAAATCCTTTCAGAGCCAGAGCCAAAACCATACTGGAAGGATTTATGTATGTATTGTGTTGCTTTTGGTCTTGAGAATAGTTTATATTTTTCAACACTGTGATGAGGGCAGCAGCGGTTTGGAAGAGTCATAATAGAATTACTTAGCTTGAACTCTGAGTTTGTGTAAGTGCATTTGCCTGCTGGGGCTGGTAAAGCATATTTCTTGCTGTTGGGATGGAAACGTCTGATGTCACATTGTCAAAGCGTTTCATTACTTAGACGAGTCCACCAACACCCCCAAAAAATCTAACCAAGAGTTGTCATGTAAATCTTGTTTTTTTCTGCTTTGAGCATGTTCATGTCTTCGCTCGCTATTTTTAGCCTCTCGACTGCAATACTTCACTTTTTGTTCGTTGTGTAACCATTTATATGGCTTGGGTACTTCACGGTTGACGAGATTTAAAATTTCGTAATTGTTGAAAATTCACAACCGTTACTAAAAAGAAAGAAAGAAAAAAAGACAGAGAAAAATGAGCGAATGGAGACTAATTACCGCAGATATTCTGAACTGTAGTTGGGTGAATTGAAATAAATTAAAAGAAACCTGTTCCTCATTTTTGCTGGAGACACTCAGGACCCGCCCTTCGGGGCGTTTGGAGGTCCTCGGCACCCTAGTTTTTGAGGATCCCCTCCTCCCTCCTTCTGTACAAGCCCACGGGGTTCTTGGCCCTGCTTGCGGACGCGGTGATGCAGGGGTTAACGTGGTGACGTGGTGCTCCTGAAGCGGTGACCCGCGGGGCAGCCAGTGTGGTGGATGAGTGAGGTGTGGTGGTGGGGGCTGCTGCACTGGAGGGGGAGAAGAGGAGAAAGCCGTGGCTGAGGTGCTGTCCGTGAAGGACAGGCGACTCCCAGCAAACAAGCGGCACAAACATTAGTTTGCGATCACTTCCAAGCTTCTTCTCCATCCTGCGTCTCACTGGTTTTATGTACGTAGGTGTCCGCTTTATCAGCGAAGCGCCTTTCCTAAAGGGAGCACGGTCTTCGCGTGCGATTTCATTTGAAATCACGTCTCTGTTTCTTTTTTTCCCAGTCCACAGCAGACGCAGCGAAGCAGGCTCGACTTCCTTCCCGTGGAGATAAATTCACTTTTACGCGCAAACTTGTCTGGACCGTTCGGACTTGATCAAAGGCGGCGGAGGCGAACGCGCAGAAATACCGCGGACTCTTTAACGCCCGCGCTAAACGTTTATAGCGCTTTACAATTGAAGCCGTGTGTGTATGGCGGTGTTTTTGTTGTTGTTGTTGTTGTTGTGTTTGGGTGTTTTTTGTTTTGTTTTTGTTTGTTTTGCTTATCTTCAGAAATAAACCTCCCCTCAAAAAAATAAAAATTTAGAAACTCTGGAAAGCGTCTACATACAGAGCAGGTGGTGAATTTAAAAAAAGAAAAGAAAAAGAAGAAAGGTGGGTAAACTGTGACCTCCAGGCGGTAATTAGGCCTACCATTTGCCAAATAACCGCCACTATAAACAAATGGGCCTATCAATTAGATTTCCAGAAAGGACTGATTGCTCCTTTTCATGCCAGACTTGAACTATTCCGCAAATAAAAACAAGGAGTTTGGTGTGGTCTGCCTTCCATTACAGCGCCGTGATAGGCCAAAACATGGTACGCAGATGAACGGTAGACCTAGTTTAGTAGTCTGATCAAACTTGTGGAGTGAGGAGGAAGCACAGGGAGGCCAGTTTGGTGAAAAAACAAAACAAACCCCCTCTTAAAGCTAAATATCAGAAAGTTGCATGTGTGACTGGCCTGCTCTCCTCCTCCTGCTCCACCTTCACGCATAGATCCGGTTCAGCACAATCACAAATGAAAACAAACAGTAGTGGTGAGAAAAAGGTGTGTGTGTGTCAGTGTGTGAGTAAATGTGTGTGAGCTCAAGCTACACCTTTGTTGGTGGGAATGGGAGTGGGAGTATTCCTGGTGCGCGACTCATATAAGCATGCCTGATGATGTCCCGTTGCCCCCTCCCCTGGAAAAAAAAAAAACAGAATGCAAGAAAGCTTCTAGTCTCCTGCAGGAGACGAGAGTGCATGGGAAAGAGAGGGAGAGGGAGCAAGGGAGAGTTTCTCCATCAATTTTTTGTTTAATGTCAGCGCTTTAGCTCCATTGTGGGAGCGAGAGGACGCGTCATCCGGGCATAAATTTGCTATTATACAAGCTTCACGGAGACTCACATCCAGAAGATCCTGCCGCTTGTAGACGGGAGAAATCCCTCGGTGGGTAAATACGGCAAAAAAGAGTTAACATGTAAGTAAATGGGAGGACTGTTTAAGGCTACACAGTTGAATGCGCGTTAAGCTCGATTATTTTTAAGTTTTGGGGAGGAAGAAAGACTCATTTGATTTTCTTTCCTTTTTAGTTTAAAGCTGGGCGCTTTGGGGGAACATCTGTTTATTAGGTAGGTGGTATTTTGTTTTGTGTTTGACGTTATTCAAGGAGTGCTTTCTTAAAATATATATATCTATATATCGATCGCTGTGTTTTCTTGTATTTTCAATGCCATTTTTTAAAAACTAGCCTAAACATTTCTATAAGCGTTTTTTGAGCCGTGGCCCCACAGTCCAGTAGCGTATGCGTACATGAAATTATTTATTTATGTAAATGTTTGATTGTACAGCTGTGATTATTTATTTAGATCTAAAAACACACAAAACGTTGCAGAATCGCTTTTGTAGGCTGAACGATTCCAACAACGGTTTGTCCTAAAACGTGTGATATCTGTCATCAGACACAGATGGATACTTTTAAGAGTATGAAGTTAATGCGAGAAGGTCTGTCAGTTGGGGCCTCACACACACACACACACACACACACACACACACACACACACACACACACACACACACACACACACACACACACACACACACACTTCTTCGAGTGACACCCCTTAGCTGGGTGTTATAATTTATCAGGTTTTCTCCTGTTACATTAAGTTACGCGGCAAAACTGTGCACTTACACTGAGCTCTTGTTTATCTGCTTGTCTCACTCTGTCTCTGTTCACACAGCAACACACGCACACACACAATAACACACACAGTAACACACACACGGGCAAAACGTTGGCAGGCAGTTCGTCTGATTTCTGCCTTAGTTTGATAAAGTGGCAGCAAGGGGGGAGGGGGGGTAGTTTTGACTGATCCTGGATTTGGAGACTGATGCAGGGATTTCTCTTTCCAGCCCCCCCACCACCACCACCACAAAGTTTCCACTGCATTATTGCTTTGTACTTGTGCTTTATTTATTTAAAAATAAACGTTCAAAGACGCATCCATTGTTTAGATAATTAACGAAAGATTGTGACCGACGTGATTACGTGAAGTCAAATACAGTGTTCACGCCCGCGTGCAGAGTTCCCAGAGTTCTCAAGCAGAGCCAACACACCGACGCTTTATAGGAAAAGAAAATAAACTTCAGTTTGCAGACACGGGAAGTCTGAACGAAACACTCCCTTTAATTCTGATCGTTTAGACACACACATCTGGAATTTGTCCTAAAAACTAAAATAAAAACTAGTAATTTAGTATTTTATTTTACTAGGATTTTATTTTATTTAATGGCCCAAAATCATCTAAAATTATACAGCAAATTTTTTAGCAGGTGGAATAAAGCTTGCTCCAATTATAATGTAGCCTTTAATTAGTGTTCATTTTGTATGGACCAAAAAAATAACATTATGTACACACACACACACACACACACATATATATATATATATATATATATATATATATATATATATGTATATATATACTTTAACTATAATAAATACCTTTATTATAGTTAAAGTTATCTTCACATTTTTCAAATTTTGTTTAACTTGTTTAAAGCTCAATCTCTGAACACATATGAGCACACTTCCAAATCGAATTATTGTTGGATGGGTTTTAGATGATCCACAATCTCGTGATTTGTGTAATTATTATCAAATACATTCAAAATGAGACTTCCATTATGGTTTGAGCAACAGACTCCAGGACGTCCTGAGGACTGTATGTTCAAAACTATTCAAAACATCTTCCTCAGAGTTGAAAGATTTCTGAAAGTCTTGTTTCTTCAGTCAGATTGCTGCTGGTGCGTCACCGTGATGGAGTCACGCAAAGTCCTGTGTTGCAAGAGAAGTCCGGTTAAAGGAATCAGTGGCGTTTCTTGAAATGCTGTGTGGCTCGTTGCAGAAAGTGGGTGACCTCTTGACCCTACTGTCCCTCGTGGAGATACTCTGTATTATATGAACATTTTTTGTGAGCAACCAGAGAAATACAAAGGCGTCTTTCATTTTCAACGTCCCGCGAGTGTGTGAGTGCATGTACACGTCTCTGCGGTGGAGGAAGTGCTGTCGACGTCTTAAAAGACAAATACACAAATTAAGAAGGTACCAGGCTGAAGTGGCCCCGCTGCACATCAGACACGCGTTATATTTAATCCACTTATTTGTGTGTATAATAGCAACATCTCCCAAAGTTGCTTACTCCCCCACCTCTCTCTCTCCTCACCCTTTGCTGAGTACAAACTTACAGCGCAAACAGCGCAAAGTCACACACGATATGGCTGTTTATGTTCGTATGGTAATGATAATTAAAGCCTCCACCTGCGTGTTTTGATGGCCCATAAATAGATGCCGGTGCTTTCATCTCATCCGTACAGGCCTGGCGGTGGTTACAGCCGGATATATGGCTCTGTGACAGGCACTAATTTGGTTCCCAAGCCATTCCCTCTGTCACCACCATTATCATCATCATCATCTTCCTCCGCTACGCAGTGTCTCGATCTAAAGGTGTCAGTAGACATACGGCTTTACAGTGTTTCCGTGGAGGAGTGCAACTTTTTTATTTATTTATTTATTTCGCATTTCCTGACTCGTTACAGCAGCATCTGTCCGGCACACAGGGGAGAAAAGGTCACGTTGTTTGTATGTGTCCAGTCAACTTGTGTTTTCACTATGTTTCCTCTGTTGTTTTTGTTTTTTGTTTTTGTGATCAGGTTGATGTCTTAAAATGTGTTGGGAACCAAAAGAGAGAGCGAGCCGCTATAAGATCGGGGAAAAGGAACAGCCCTTTTCTTCTTCTTCTTCCTTTATTTTATAACACAGTCCCAAAGCTTGGCAGCGCTTCTCTTCTTTTCTCCTCTCATATGACTCTATTGTCTCACGGGGGTTGCACCACCTTGGATTGTCGGGGCGTCTCCCTGGCGAATGACCCCGTTTGGAAATTCTCATCATTAAAGGCCTATCAGAAATATCTGGTGAGAATAAGAAGGGCTGCCCTGAACGACGGGCCTCCCGTGGAGACTGCTCTCCATTTGGACACATGTAAAAACCAACCAGTTCAATGTGTTTCCCGTTGGCTCTTGGGTTATCCTTTTAAAAATAATGTTTCCCATTTAGCAGTTCAGACGTTTATTCGGTTTTATAGGATGGGGGAGAAGGCGACTTAAACGCCCTTTAGCTATCTACTTTTAATGTGCGGAAAATTCCTCCTTACGGTGATGTGACTCGTCACGAGAAGCTAAAGTTGATATATTCAGACAGAGCTAATCTGAAGTGAACTGATAGAGTTGCACAGTCTGGAAGCAACCCCCCCTCCCCACAAAAGCAGAAAAATAAAGTTAAAAAATAAAATAAAATGCTGGGTTGTTAGATGTGACATCCGAGCTTTCGAGCAGAAAAGTGCCTCTGCTGGCCGGGGCTGGACGTCAGGAAAAAGCGGCCGAGCTCGAGCGGTCTCGCCCACTGCTCCCAGTGTGCAAGGGGAGAAAGGGGAGGGCGAGAGAAGGAAAGAAGCAGTGGAAAAGAGGAAGCGAAGAAGGGTAGGTGGAAAGTGTCAGTCAGGAACGCTTCATTGCTCGAGGACAATCGGCGCGCAGGACCGGTCTGTTTCAAGAGCAATCAGTCAATCCGCATTAATTACCCCCCACCCCCCTCCATTCCTCTCCCCCCTCCTTCTAGGGTAGCACACACTGGCACACGGACCAGAGGAGGCTTGGGTGTGCGTGTGTGCGTATTGTGCTTTCTCGTCTCTGTCTCCACACACGCACGCACCGACCCGCACACCCAGCCCCCCACTTCTTTTTAAGTGAAAGAGAACCAATAAAAATCAAGCAGTAAAAGGCTTTTCCTTGTCACTAAATAAATTAAATGCAGATTTCTGTTTTAAGTGGCGGAGCCCTTTTTTGTGAGCTGCGGAGCAGGAGTCTTTATTATTGTCCCTCTTGTCATTAGCGCACAGGACAACACCTTCAGGAGACTGAGCGGGGACATGAAGTCAGTTAATAGTAATAATAATATTAATTATTACTGGCCAGGTATAGTCAGTATAGTCGGCTGCACATGCATTGCCCAGCACGCTGTGTAGTAGGGTTGGATGTAGTACTCGTTTTCCTTCTAATTTTCCTTAAAAAAAACAACAACAACAACCCCCCCCCCCAAAAAAAAAAAAAAAAGCTTTTGGAGTCAGGAAAAGCGTCAACATTGATTTTAATCATTTACTCTAATGGTTAATTAAGATCCAAATTTACGCTGTATTCCGCAGGAGTTTTTGTTGTTTGGCGTGAGATAAAGTAAAACATATTTGGTCTACCTGGTCTTTTAATATATTCCTTCATGCAAGTAATAGAACTCCCTTATTAGAAAAATAATTATTCATTAAAAATAAATATATTAAAAACATCTATTTCTTCACACTGAGGCCCGGTGAGTAAATACACAGCCTGCATATTTTGATGGACCAACAGCACCAGCTTTCACAATGCTAATTTGTACCTTAATGGACTCTAATGCGTTATAATTTAGAGACGTCTTACTGGCCTCAAAGCACATTTGGGCTATTAAAATAGTCACTTTGAACAACAGTGCGAGTCTTCATAAAATCCAGCTTTGTGCATCTTTTTGTGTGTGTGTGTGTGTGTGTGTCTGTGAATGTGGTGGCTGAAGCCTTTTGGAGAGTGCAGGGCTCGGACACGCAGGCTGCTGGGTAAATGGGAAAAGACGGTAACGATTATCTAATTACGGCCGCGATAAATCTGCGCGCTTTGGCGTTATTTGATTTGAATTTTATATGTATCAATTAATTCCTCTCACACGAAAGTGTCGAGATCTCCCCCCCCCTTCCTCGCTCTGCGCGAGTACAGTTTTATAAGCTATCTATCGGCTGCAGACCAGCTTGGCTCACTCCAACCCCCCCCCCCCTTTCCACTCCCCCCACCAATGTTTTGTTTGGGACTGGACCAAAGCAAAGGGAGAGAGTCTCTGTTTTAATGTAAAGGGACATCAGTTGGAACAGCCTGGATATACTTTATAAAGTGCGTGCTCAGTGGTGCCGGTGGTGGAAAAGTTCAGCTAAAAAGCACACAGGCTGGCTGCAAGGATTTGTCTGCAGAATGAAACATGACCCTTTTTTGT